TTTGTATCAGACAGTTTCTAAGTGGATCGGGCCTACTGCTTTTCTTCAATTTGTTTGCCTTTAGTCAGGCCTTTGTTGCTTTCAGGATATAATGGCATGATTTTGGTTTGTGTGTGTGTGTGCATGTTGCCTTCCTGTTTACTTAGTATCAGCTAGACCTCTTAGGCCCTTTGTACATATTTTCTCCCTCCAAGACATGCCATCTATCATTATCCCCCCACAGTTGTTATTTCTGAGTGCTTTGGGATGAAATAGGCACCATGCATTCTTTTTTCTCTACCGTGGCCCTCTTTGACCCCCTCCTTCCCCTGACGCACAACAAGCTTTCATCTGAAGCATTCTGAGACCCATTAAACTGAGCAAAGCTGCGGTTTTTAGCTGAGCATTATCTTTTGTTCTCCAAGCTTTTGAGCTCTTCTTTGTAGCAATCAAGTGTGTTGGTGGCACATAATTTTTAGAAAGGGCACAAGCCACACACAGCATGGGGTAGGAAGATGCCACAACCTGGCCATTCTGAAGACTGTGTCTTTCTGGGCATCGGTTGAGGCAGACCCTAATCTGAAGACCTTCAAAGCTATGTTTCTTCCTAAAGAAAACAGCACAGTTCAGCCAATAGGCCAGCAATGTGCGTCAGACAATGTTTGTTCATAATTTGTCACATATTGTTGGTTTTTTTTTTTTTTTAATCTTCTGGGCCCCACACATGTCTTACTTTTCATCTATCAGTAACAGCAATTTTTTTCAGCAGGCTTGGAAACAAATGGTGAGAGAAGAAGAATGATTCCTCCTTTTCTACTTAGAAAACAGCGACATTAAACTTCTGAAGATTTTTGCCCCAGCTGGTCATTTCAAGAACTGCAACTTATCTGAGCTTTTGTTTTCTTTTTTTCCTTCTTGATCCCATTTTTTTTCATTGCATGTCCGTGGTTAATCTAATCATTGCTCAGGTAGCCTCATTGGCAGGGTTGCATGACACTGGACTATAGAGTAGTTTCATACAAATGTTATCAAATAGTTTAAAGTTTGGTGTGTCACATAAAAATCACTGCTGTAAGGTTCCATCCTTTTGGCTGTTAAGTCTGAGGGCAAAGAAGGGCACATTATTGATTGTGTGAATCATTCCAAGAGTTTAATAAATGCTTTAAATAGCTGGTTATAGGCATCTGATTGCTGGCCTATGTTGGAACAGAAGCTGGTCAGATATTACTTTGTGATGCTTTGGGATCTGAATTCCTGTACTGTTCAAGAATTGAAGTATAAGGCATGCTGGAAGTGTGGGAATGGTAGTGGGACGTACTACCACCAATGATGGATGTGCCCCAAAGCAGCCAAATATTGGTCCAAGGTTCGGAACTGGATAGTGGTCCTTTCGGGATACCCCACAGCCAGCTTCATATATCCTCATTCTGTCCCAGAGCTTGGGTAAAAAGCCAGATCTTGATGACCTTCTGGAAGGACAAGCAGGTGAGGACCTGCCAACTCATTGAGGTGAAAGTTTTCCATAAGGTATGAGCAGGGGTGAAATGTTCCCAGTTTGGACTGGCTCAGGCGAGTAGGTAGCGATAGTGGCGGGCAGTTCGGAGAACTGGTAGCAAAAATCCCTTCCCCCCCAGCCTCCAGCTTGCTTACCTTTGCACGCCTGCCTTGCTTCACTTGCTGTAATCTCTGCAATCCATTGCATCAGCAAGCAACTGAATCCCCCTGCCTGCAATCAAGCTCATCGGTGAGCAGCTCTTTCTGACTGCCTGTTTGCCTGCCTGTAAGTTTTATTCTCCTTTGGGAGCTTTTAAAAAAATAGTTAATTGGGGTTTTTTTTAGTCGTTCTTTTTTTAGACCTAGCCATTTAAAGTTTAGGAAGTTTTAAATTTAGCTGCTTTTATATAAAAATTAAAATAAAATAAAATAAAATAATATTTGTGCAGCTTTCTGAGATTTTGTGTGTTTCTGTAGTGTTTCACTCTAACTACACAAACACACAAAATCTCACAAAGCTGTATATGGAATTTTGTGTGTGTAAAGTGTGAAAGTTGGTTTTTTTGGCTTTTTGTGCCTGTGTGAGGTTCCTGCTTGTTGCAGGGGCCATTTTGGGTCTAGCACAGCTGCTTTTACATTGTGGGTGAGCCAGTTGTTTTGTGTTGTGTTGTGTGTGTGTAAAGTGTGAAAGTTGGTATTTTTGGGCTTTTTGTGCCTGTGTGAGGTTCATGCTTGTTGCAGGGGCCATTTTGGGTCTAGCACAGCTGCTTTTACATTGTGGGTGAGCCAGTTGTGTTGTGTTGTGTTTTGTAGGTTAAAAAAGGGCAAAGAAGTGATGTCAACTTGGCCACACCCACCTGACCAATAAGCCACACTCACCCAGTCACTTGACCACTTAGCCCCATCCACTAATTAAGCCACACCCACAGAACCGGTAGCGAAAATTTTTAGATTTCACCCCTGGGTATGAGCAGCCTCAGAGAAGGCACGCTTCCAAGATTCTACTAGGTGGCAAAATTATAGAGAAGGAACTTAAAGCATGCTTCCCCTATCCTATCAGACCTGGTAGAACAGGCAGATATTCTCATGGAAGGGCAGTCCCACATCATGATGTAATGAATGTGCATTCCCTATTTGAGCTGGACATTAGAATAGAATATTCTTTATTGGCCCAGTGAAATTGGACACACAAGGAATTTGTCTCTGGTGCATAAGCTCTCAGTGTACATGCAAACAACAAAGTAATATAATCATACAATACCAATAGTAGAAGATAATAGACAAGATGAGAAGGATAATAGTAACACAGCCCTACTTTACTACATTATATATATACTGTGTTCCCCAAAAATAAGACCCTGTTTTATATTTTTTTGAACTCTGAAATAAGCACTTGGCCTTATTGCCATGCACTCAAAAGCCTGATTGGGCTTATTATCAGGGGATGTCTTATTTTGGGGAAAACAGAGTATTACATTACATTACTTACTACATTACATACATACTATATTATATTATCTACCACATTACTACATTACATACATACTACATTAGGATGCTGTATAGCAATAGCATTCAGGCTTATACTGCATACCTCCCTATAGTGCTTTACAGTATTCTCTGGGTGATTTACAATGTAAGCATTATTTGTGTATTGTCTCCAACAATCTGGGTCCTCATTTTTACTGACCTTAGAAGGCTGAATCAACTCGAGTCCTATCAGGATCAAACTCCAGGCTGTGGGAGGAGTTTGCCTGCAATACTCGTATGTAATTTGCATCATGATGTCACTGTCAGAGGTGGTATTCAGCTAGTTCAGATTGGTTCGCAGATAGGCACGGTAGCAGATTTAGGCACGATTTTGAGGCTGGGTGCATACACGGAAGGTGCACGCGGCAGCAAAGCACATGCGTGGAAGGTGTGCGTGGCAGCAAAGCGCATGAGCGGAAGGCCAGGCGCATGCGTGGACGGGGCGCATGTGAGCGAAGAGAGAGAGAGAGTGCACTCACATTTGTGAACCGGTAAGGAAAGTAAGTGAATACCATCCCTGGTCACTGAATGTGTGCCATCAATCCTAATTGGATGTAGACATCTGTGATTAGACTTCAGTGCTCAACTCCATGATCTTATAATTCTATTAAGTAAGTAAGCAAGTAGAAGGATGTAGGAATTAGGCCTGTGAGGAGGAGGCTGGATTTGCTTCTGCAAGATGCTGTTTGCCTTAACAAGGAACACTCTGTCACCGATGCCTCTTCTAGCTACACAAACAGTTGGATGAGTCCTCGGGAGCACTTAAAAGAGAGCAGTACAGCTGCTTTGCTTTGCTTTTAGAAATAGGGGAGAGTGTTGGATTGCTTTTTTTTTATTTCCTTTATTTCTATTTCCTATTTCTAAACCACTCATTTCCCTCAAAATGCCTTTGCTGGACTGTGTTTCAGTCGAATGCTTTTGTTGCCTCACCATCAAATATCAAAACTGCACAGCCTTAGTAGGAACAGCAGAATGAGTTCAGGGAAAGGAAATAAAGGCAGTGTAAGAACATAAATCTTATGAGGAAAATGTGAAGGGGCTAGAAGCTGAGCCAGTAGCTGGAAAAGAAAAGGGAATACAATATCACCCTCCAAAGCCGGAAGGTTTGTCATGTAGGAGAGGACAAATGCTCCTTTTCAGTTGATCCAGAGGACAGGAATAAATTTAATGAGCTCAAGTTACTGAGAAGAAGGATATTGACACAATAAGAGCAACTTGCCGCTGAAACCAATAACCTTGAACAGTAATTGTTCTCCTTTTCTGGAGCCTTCAGGTGAAGGTTGAACAGGCATCCCCTGAAAACTAATTTGTACTATAGTCTCCTTGCCTACGATCTTTTTCTTCCATAAAGTGTTATTGATTCTTTCATTATCTATACCATTCATAGATTTGTATCTGTCTAGGATTTTTTCCCCTCTCCTGATCAGTAAATACATGGGAAATGTTATTGAACTAAAACATTCACATTCCTTGCAGGTGTATGGGGGGGGGGGGGGGGGGGGGGTTATTTAATTTATTTGGAAGGGGAAAATAGTGGCTCCAAAATATAAATTAAGTGGCATTTCTCACAATGCAATCATGTTGGAGTCAGTGATAGGGCTGTGCACTACGTTGGAGTACGGAGAATGGTATGAACATAGTATCTGGCCTGCCATGTGTTTAATTAGCTATATGGGCCTGGGAAATGACATAGCTATTTTAATGAGTTGCAGGCAAGTGATTATTTTCAATCTCCATGCATCTGAGGAGATATTTTAAGAACTGAATTAAAAATGTTACCTTGCCCTATTCCATGGGTGTCAAACTTGCCACATATAACGTTGCTGTCACGTGATTTATCGCAATGCTTTTTCCCTTCGCGGAACTAGACGTGGATGTGGCCTGCACATGACACATCTGGCTCAGTTTGTCACCCCTATTGCCCTATTCAATAATAATATATCTCTTTACTATTAATGGTGAACTGGGACTGATTTATCATTGTGGTCTGTTTACAGCCTCTCCTTCAATCAAGCTATTGGTGGATGATCCCATTGTGGTGAACCCTGGAGAAGCCATCACTTTGGTTTGTGTCACAACAGGTGGTGAGCCACTCCCAACCCTAACCTGGGTAAGATCTATTGGTACCTTACCTGAGAAGATAATACTGAAAGGTGGAACGCTGACCATCCCTGCTATCAATTCTGATGATGCTGGCACCTATAGCTGCATTGCCAACAACAATGTGGGGAATCCAGCAAAGAAGTCCACCAACATCATTGTCCGAGGTAAGAGTTTTCTACAATTATACTTACTTATCATCAGATTAAGCAGCTGTGGGACGATTGGACTGAATTTTGCTATAAAGGTCTTTTATTCTCTTAACATCATGTACTAAATCCTTCCACTTTTTTTTTTTACTAGAGCATATTCATAAGAATTAATATGCTGTTATATTTTGAGAGGTTTGTTTTTAAAAATGTCTATGTCCATAAGAGATATTGTTGATTTCTGCTTACTTATAGAGACAGGTTATCCACAGAGTTTGTTTAGTAATGCAAGAAACTGCTGTACAGGTCTACATTTTAATTAGATCGTATCCAGATTGTTCAAATATACTTCACCTGAGACTACCCCAGATAGACTGGTAGCTAGTGAGAAATAGAGGGATGATGTGATGAAAGATCTGTATGAAAGATCTGTAATGGCAGGCACAAGATCTGTAATTCACAGGCACAATTTAAATCCATAAATGGCTTGAACTGACCATCCAAGGACCGTCTTTCCTATTTGAATTTGTCTGTATGTTAAACTTTACAGGGGAATTTTCTCCGAAATACCCCTATGACAAAATTCTATCTAATAGAAGGCCCCCCCTTCTGTAAAAATGCACCTTTTTTTTGCTAGACTTTTAATTATTAATCATATTTAGTATTAATTTTAAGGATGATAATATTCTTTTTGCTCTTTTTAATGGAAAGGTAGTGTGTAAATTGAATAGGTCAATAATATACCCCAAGACAGTGGTGAAATCCAAATTATTTTACTACAGGTTCTGTGGATGTGGCTTGGTGGGCGTAGTGTGGCTTGGTGGGCGTGGCAGGGGAAGGATACTACAAAATCTCTATTCCCACCCACTCTGGGGCCAGCCAGAGGTGGTATTTGCTGGTTCTCTGAACTACTCAAAATTTCTGCTACCGGTTCTCCGAACTGCTCAAAATTTCCGCTACCGGTTCTCCAGAACCTGCTGGATTTCACCCCTGCCCTAAGATCATTTGGGCCATATCATCTGGCAGTAGCCTTCCAAGATGTTAGGCCAATGTTTTAGTGAAACTAATTAGAAGATGGTGAAGATTAAAACTGAGATTTTTTTACATGAAGAGCATCTACTATGTTGCATCCCTATGGCCAACACATTCTGGATGATATTTTAATTTAAGCCATCTCTTTATGAAATCTTCATACTCAGTTTACCATAATAAGCAACAAGGTTATGTTGTTGCTGTTGGACTGATATGAGGGTGAACTGCAGCTTTCTCATTTAAGACCAACAGATCATTGCAAGGCAGAGGTGGGTTTCAGCAGGTTCTGACCAGTTCTGGAGAACCAGTAGCGGAAATTTTGAGTAGTTTGGAGAACCGGTAAATACCATCTCTGGATGGCCCTGTCCCCAACTATTTTCTCCCTGCCGAGTCCCAGCTGATTGGAAGGAAATGGGGATTTTGCAGTAACCTTCCCCTGGAGTGGGGAGGGAATAGAGATTTTACAGTATCCTTCCCCTGGAGTGGGGTGGGAATGGAGATTTTACAGTATCTTTCCCCTGCCACGCCCCTCCAAGACATGTCACGTCCACCAAGCCACACCCACAGAACCAGTAGTAAAAATTTTTGAAACCCACTACTGCTGCAAGGTTGTCCTCCAGACATTTTTTCCTCTCTTGCATGAAGGCAATATAAGAAAACCAGCTTTAAAGCATCCATGGTTTGCTATCCTACAAGCCTGAAGTTAGGGTTGCTTGCCTGCAAATTTCGTAAGACTATTTGAAGATATTTCCAAAGCGATCAGAACATGGTTTCTCTTCCCTCTGGGTATTTTTTTAGGCAGCATTTCCTTTCTCTCTCTCTCCCTCCCCCCCATTTATTGTAGATTGTGTGATTGTGCTAAATATGTTTGTTCCTCACCTCCATTCCACTTGGCACAAAAGCAAAAACACCCTTTATGATGACTCTGCCGTGAGGCACTTTAGGCACTTAATGGCAATGTAGATTTCTGCAGCTATATGTTCTTCTCTCCAGCTATGATTATTTCATGCCTTGGAGTCTTGTTTTGCTCTTTCTGCCCTGCTACCCCCATCATCTGGGCAGTGGATTGCTTGCTTAGGCCTTTTGCAAAAGGAGAGTTTTGAATTATTTCAGTGTGAGACTCAACATCGATAACATGATTTAGATAGAACAGTTTCCATCCATTTCCCCCTGTTTGATGGTTAACATCCAGATTTTGAAGTTTGTAGTAGATCAGGTTGATAACACTGAGACCTGGGGAGACAGGGAGAAGGTGGGGGATTGACAGATTGTGTGATGTGATGGATAGATTGGTGGATGCAGTCAACAGAGAAGCAGATTCAAATCCCTAATAATGCATGGAAGCTACTACCATAAGTTTAGCTAATTCCCACCCCACCATCCCATTTGTTCACTTCTTTTCAATATAAAGATCTTCCCCACATTGACAGGGATGGACTTTTTGTACTGCCCTCCAAAGGAGAGGACAGTCAAAAATTGCTGCCTAACAAATTATCTTTGCCACATCTCAAAAATTAGGTTAACAAAGTCCTGTCATATAAGAGTGGGGGGTTATTGCACCATTTATGGTGTTATTGTTGGGAATGGGAAACAGAGGTTGACTCTCCCCCTTCACTGTTGTCTTTCTCCCCCAACCCCAAGTATGGAGTCTTAGCTACCTTTCGTTATGGTGATCTCTGGCTTTACCTGCCACGGAGGAGTGTTGCTGCTGCTGCTGCTGCCCCATGTGTAGCAAGTATTATAGCCTTGAAGGACAGAGGAAAGGACCATTACCTAAGCAATTCAGATAAAGAGGAAAGAAAGGAAGCATGCTGCAACTTGAAAAGATTGATGTCAGCCCTATAAAATAGATCAGACTAAGAAACAGTTACTGTGCAGACCTAAAGGTAGTTTTATTAAAACAGCTATAGTAACTTAATCTTGCAACTCTTTCTTGACCTTGACTCTTCCATTGGTGTCTTGGTAACTGATCTTCCTCTGTCCTTTAAAGTCATGTTGTATACTCACTACATCATGAGAATGTAGTGAGGTAAGGGTTGCACAGTGGTTAGAAGCAGGGGTAAAATCTGACCGGTTCAGCCCGGTTCGGCTGAACCACTAGAGATTATTGGCATTGGTTCACCGAACAAGTAGTAATTACCCCTCGTTGGCCCCACCCAGCTGGTTGTCACTCACCTTTTCCGGCCACTCAATATTCAACAGAATTCAATGTTAAATGCAGCAGAGAGATTGCTAACTTTTCTCCCTCCATTCAGAACGGAGCTGTTGCAGCCTGTTCCTTTAAGGTAGTCCCCAGGAGGGAGGGGGATGGGGGAAGCAGCTGGAATGGAGCCATTTTCATGAAAGGCAGGAAAATGGGGAAGGGGATTTTCCTGCCTATCATCCATTCCTCAATCTCAGCACAGACTGAGGAAAAGATGGTAGGCAGGAATATTCCCCTCCCCATTTTCCTGCCATTCGCGACAAGGAGTGGCTGGGAGGGGAGGAGCTGGTGAGGACCCCCTCGATGTGAGTGATGTCGAGTTGGCCACACCCACCCAGTCACATGACCTCCCCCCAACAAATCATGTCCACAGAACCGATAGGGAATTTTTTTTTTTAATTTCACCACTGGTTAGAAGGCAGTATGGCAGACTAATTCAGCTCACTGCCAGGAGTTCAATCCTCATCGGCTCAAGGTTGACTCAGCCTCCCATCCTTCTGAAGTCAGTAAAACGAGGCCTCAGATTGTTGGGGCAATATGCTGACTCTGTAAACCACTTAAAGCAGAGGTGTCAAACTCAATTTCATTGAGGGCCACATTGGCATTATGTTTGACCTCGGGAGCCAGGGTGGGCATGGCCAGCTCAACATCACTCATGTCAGCTCATGTGGTAGCCCGAGCACTCTGCCAGCAAAAATGGGCCTGAGCTCCGTTTTCATCTGTGACGGCTGCCTGCAACCCTCTGCCAGTGAAAACGGAACTCAGGAAGGCCAGATCTAAGCACCCCACGGGCTGGATTCAGCCCCCTGGCCTTGAGTTTGATACCCCTGAATTAGAGAGTACTGTAAAGCACTATGAAGCGGCATGTAAATCTAAGTGCTATTGCTATTTTCTGATGGGAGGGAGCAAGAGATCCATGCAGAGGAAAGCAAGCAGCAGAAAGACAGTAGGGTTTTCTTTCTGCTCTTCTCTCCCCTAATAACAGTTGAAACAGCCAAGGCTACCAATAGCAAATTTGTGTTATCCTCAGCAGTTAAAAGAGAAATGGACCCAGAACTATAGAGCCACATGGCTGGATGGAGGAGGATGCTCTGCCAGCAAGCCAATTAGAGCCCTGCAGAACATTGGCATATTGTACTTGAGGATCCACCTCCATGGAAAACACAAAGTTACATAGAGGAGATTTGTTCTGTGTTCCACAAGGAAACCTTAATTTTCTTCCAAATGACTTTGTCTCAGGCTGGCCCTAAGATGAAGATATTAAGTCAATCATTGGCAAATAATTGATAAAGAGGCTATCTCAAAGCTGAGGAAAGGAAGCTGTGTGGCTGATTTCAGAGTAAGATTGTGTGAATGATATCCAGTCGGCTTGCATGGAGCACATCCTTTGGTGGAGACAAAACTCTCTTCTTCTGCATCCAGTTTTGGCTGCCACGATGTGAAAAAGATGTTGAGACTCTAGAAAGCGTGCAGAGAAGAGCAACAGAGATGATTAGGGGACCGGAGGCTAAAACATATGAAGAACGGTTGCAGGAACTGGATATGTCTAGTTTGATGAAAAGAAGGACTAGGAGAGACATGATAGCAGTATTCCAGTATCTCAGGGGTTGCCACAAAGAAGAAGGAGTCAAACTATTATCCAAAGCACCTGAGGGTAGGATAAGAAGCAATGGGTGGAAACTAATCAAGGAGAGAAGCAACTTAAAACTAAGGAGAAATTTCCTGACAGTTAGAACAATTAATCAATGGTACGACTTGCTTCCAGAAGTTGTGAATGCTCCAA